TGGAGCACCTCTGCTATGAAGACAGGCTGAGAGAGTTGGGGCTATTCAGCCTGGAGAAGAGAAGGCTCCGGGGTGATCTTATAGCAGCTTTCCAGTACCTAAAGGGGCTACAAGAAAGCTGGAGAGGGACTTTTTACAAGGGCGTGTAGTGATAGGACAAGGGGCAACGGATTTAAACCGAAAGAGGGCAGATTTAGGTTAGATATAAGAAAGAAATTCTTTACATTGAGGGTGGTGAGGTACTGGAACAGGTTGCCCAGAGAAGTTGTGGATGCCCCATCCCTGGAGGTGTTCAAGGCCAGGTTGGATAAGGCTTTGGGCAACTTGGTGTAGTGGAGGATTTCCCTGCCCATGGCAGGGGGGTTGGAACTAGATGATCTTTGAGGTCCCTTCCAACCCTAACCATTCTATGATTCTACGATTGTCTGTTCACAAAACAGGGTGTTTAAAGCTAATGTTACTTTTAAGATTTCTGGGGGTCTTGGTCGCATTTGCCTTCCTCTAAGGGAACAAAATTCCATCATAATGGTCACATCATTTCTTAGTGTGTGATGTGGCATTCTTAGTACACATCACAGCTTCCTGCTGTTTGTATCCTTTTTCTTGGGATAATCTACATTACATTTCATTGCCTCTATAATAAAAGTTCAGTATTTTTGACTGGCATTATTTTCAAGAATGTGCATCTTCCAGGCAACCAGCAGTACAACCATCCTCACTGTGACTAATTTTGAAAATATATATTATTTCAATTCTCTCACTGAATTTAAAATTGATATACAGAGAGGTAAAGACTGTCTGAGATTTCAAAAGTTACAGGCAAGATAATCCTGCCCTCTGCCCTCCCCAGTTAAGATGACATTTTCTGAAAGAGGAAAATCAAAAGTGATAAATTTCTTTAAGTCACTTATTATAATGCAATTTCCTATGCCACCTCAAGAGTAAAAAAAGCATTACATTTAACTCATTATGTTGAAAATACGTCTAGGTATATTAACGATGCATTTTTAAAGTCTGAACGAAATCTATTCAATTCTAATACAGAGGCTGCCCTGTACATAGAAGTGTCAAATGTTAACATACATAAATTCAGGAACTAAGGAAAGTTATAAATGGATTCAGTTACATAGACTTAATGTTACAGCACAGTTACAGAAATAACTCTTTTTAAACATCCTTTTGAATTTTTGCAGTGTTCATTCCTGAAGGACAAACATTTCTCCCCACTTCCTCCACCATTTCTGCAAGCTAAGTGAGAGTTAGCTTGCTTTAGCACAGGAAAGACCAAGGCCTTTTTTTCCTCCCATGACTTATACATCCCTATTTAATATCAACACAATACTGGAACTGAGAAATGTATAATAGAAAAAGATTAAAACCGATTTCACTGACAGATGTTACAACGTGCTATCACTGAGAGAAAGCAAATATGAAAGTCTTTTCTCAATGCAGCTAGGACAAACATGAAGGGTCTTGCTGGAATCAAAATTAAAATTATCTCAACTGAAAAAAAATCAGTAAGCTACTGAATAGTGCAGGTTACTGTCATAACTGATCAGAACCATTTAAAGCAAAAATGCATGCAAAGCAGTTAGCAGATGAGAACAATAAAAGCATTGTTATGTCTACATGATGATAGATTTCAAAACTGCAACACTCAAATAACTTATGCAACACAGGCACTTAGTAAATGTCACAGCAGAAGTGTTTAATGTATTCCTGGGATGTTGAAAAGAGAAAACATCTGCAAGGGTAGGGAAATACTTGACTGAAAACAGAAACTGTAACATCATGCCTAGAATACCATCCCTGATCCTGGCGTCTGCCCCTTTATGAAATGCAATGGAATTGAAAAACGTTTCAAGGTAAGTCAGTAAAACCACTCACTGGTTAAAAAAATACGACTTAAGCCGATCAATTTTTCAACACACTGCATAGAATGTTGAGAAAGAACTTGAAAATTAGTAGAGATACTTAAGCTATTTTTTTTTTTAAATTTGATAGTGGAGATAATCACACATCAGAATAATTTTAGTAAGGGAAGGAGAGAAATATCTTTAAGGAAAATAAGCTAGCTTTCTAGCACATGGACAAGAAATCCAAACTCTGGAGGAAATAAGATCTGTGAGCTATATGTAAAAAAAGAGTGGACATCTGTATATCCAAGTTGGTTAGTAGCAATAATCTTTTCTGACATTAAACTGAATCTACGAGGTCTCCTGGTTCATTCCAGGATGCATAAGGAGGAGAGAGGAGTAGTAACAGGAAAATTTTCATTACCCTCATTAAAATATAAACACTGGCAGTTTTGCATGAAGAAAGTTACATATTTTAACATTCACGTTTCAAGGCTTCAGCCAGTTGCCTGCAAGGATCAGGACCACTCTATTTTTTTAGGGGATGGTAATGCTTCTCACTATAATATTATGAGAAAACATCCTTTTGCTCCCAACAGAGTAAACGGTTTAATTAGCACAGTAAGTAATAAGCTTAACGTTCTCATTCTATAAGTAAAGCAGTTACTAGAAATAAATATCTACACTAAAGAACTTCAGTCTCTTGCTTGTCAGTAACAGAACAAGTGACACGTAAGAGGAAGCGCATCAGAAGAGCTGTTGCTGCTCCTCAGCCCTACTACTCACCCGACAGCGCAACACCGTTAGCTCTGAAAGAGGATACTTTCCATTCCAGCACATGCTTGTGCACAACCAGAATAAGACAGAGGGGAAAAATCATACGAGGAATATTTGGCCCAGAATAAAAATAGATTGGTTTCCTGCTGCGACCATCCCAAAATTCCTGAACAATTGCCTGCGGGAAGCTTCCCTGGCATGCAGCCTGTTTAGGACAATTCTGGGTAAGGAATAGCTGGCTGCTGGGACGTCTGGTCTCTTCGGCTTCAAAAACAGAGAAATGAAGTCATGACAGTAAGTCAAGATGAAACAGAATCTAATCTCTAAATGTGTAGATCATTAGCAGCTTCTCCTAAGTCATCCAGCTGTACTGGACGGCTTAAGAATGCAGTGGAATTTTTTAAAAGATTCCTGATCCATTAGTTTCATGTTTTAAGAGTTACAGAGTGACAAGAGCTCAAGAAAGAGAATGCTGACATAAGAAGAAAGAAAATTAATAAGGTACCAGCAAATTCAATTATATCAGACAAGCTACTTCTCTCCTGTGCTGAAAGTCTGAATCTAGTAAATCTGACATAGATCAGGATGAAATTATGCCAAATCGCTGCATTAAAAAAAAAAAAACCCACTAACAAAAACCCATACAGATTACAATTAAATTGTAATTGGATTTGTCATTTCAAAGCATTAGCATCAGATTTCCAGATAATACAGGGTGACACACTCTTATGCTAATAAACAGAAAGTTAGTAAAGTAAACAACCGCTGTGTTTCTACTGTAAGGAAATACGTGTGCCAATGAAGCAACCTTTTCAGCAGAGAAGCAATTTAATACCCAAACCACATGAAAAGTGATCTCTCTGGGAATAGCACAGCTGCTAAAATCCAAGTCAGTTTTTATTAAATCATCAAGTCTGTTTATGTAAAACAGGGCTCTCTTAAAACGACCTCCAAAAGGAAATGATTTGCTAGCAAAAAACTGATACCTGCATTTAATTTATCTCCATGGATGTATGTTTTTATTGTTTTTATATATCAATATGTCCTGGATCGCAGATAAAAAGACACAAGGAAAATAAAAAAAAAGAGCTTATTCTAACAGTTTAATTTCTCAGGCTCCACCATCATAAAGCTTTTCCTTTTTGTTTTTTTTTACATAAGTATTTTTCTGAAGCAAAATCCTTTAAGTAACACATAGAACTTCTGCAAACCATACTTCTGGAAAAGATGAGAAAATAATCTCTTTTAGCTACTGCTGAGCTTTCAGCTATTCAAGAGGGTAGATACGTGTTTCTGAAAATAACAGTAGTTTTAAGTTCAGTGCTTCAACTTTTGAGGACAAAATGAACATTAGTAGTCCTTCAAAACTTGTCAAATGTACTCAGATAGCCTAGAGAAATAACAGGAGTACTGTAGAAGAAAAAAATTGTGCAAGGCTTCAAAAAAATTATAGCGCCTTAAGAGTTTTTGATAGCTGTTTGAAAGAAGAAGGACAAGTGCAGTGAAAAGAACGGAAAGAACTTCTTGCAGTAGGTCTCAAGGTACAGAAAAGTGAACTAAATTAATGGCAATCCCAAATAGGCCAAATCATGAGTCAAAACCTCTGAATCTTCATACTGAGACATTTCAGTCAAAACTTCTTGAGAGGCAGTACCTGGCCATAGAAAACCTGCCCGAAAAACTTTTCAAGGCCACAGCTCAGGAAAACAACCCAAGACTGAAGAGGAGGCCTCGCACAGACACATCCGTGGGCTGCCCTGGTGTTACAGCAAGATACAGCTCAGATCCAGGCAACAGCCCTAAATCCGTCAGACGACTGAAGACTGCCAGCACTAGCATCACAATGAAACAGTCTTTTCAATAAAGAAATGTTATGGAAGAAATTTTTTTCTTAAGTGTTATTTATATGTTTGGTTTATATCATAAACAGAAATTTAAAAACTTCACATATTTGTTATGATACTAAGTTCAAGAAAGCTAAAAAGATACAATATGCACCAGAAATAATTTCTTCAACAACTAAAAACAATAACAATTTCATTCCTTCCTAAAAACTAAAAGATATTGACAGTATTTATGCAATAAACTTTTCAGAAATGTGTTGGCCCCAAACTCTGCTTGGCTTCTTTAGCTATGACTGGAACGTTTATGTGGAGATAGCATGCTAACAGGTGATGCCAAGGAAATTTGGGAAACAGCTAAAAAAGAAGGGTATGAGGGCAAAAGAACTTTAACTGAAGGGAGAACACAGATTCCAAGGCCTAAGGAAGTAAGAGAAAACACCAAATACAAAGCAGTCCTCAGCACCCCAAGACTGACCTAGAGCAAGACCATTCTGCACATACAAACAGACAAATTCTGACTTACTTTGGCTGAACAGGCTGTGCACTTATCAAATGCCAGGCTGACTGGAAGAACATTATCAAATCTTGATAAAAATCCACGGATCTGGATGACAAAAAAAATTTGCAATATTATCTTATAATTACAAAAAAAAAACATTTCCAAAATTTCCACATGAACTGGACACATACATTCAGTACAAAGATAATGGCTATAACTGGGGCAATACTGTTCTGACACAGTGGTCTCAAATAACACCTGTAGTAAATTTATGCTCAATGTATGTTAATGTTTTTCCACATACAAATAATGGCACAACTGTCTAAATGCAACACTTTAAACACAGAGGCACAGCACCATCTGGAGTTTGAGTTTTCTGATTGCAAAGTTCAATCAAAAATAAAGTCAGAGTATAACCAGTTAACCATATTTTTTTTCCCATTTCTATTAATATATAATCCAAAAACTTAAGTGTCGTGCAGACCATTGTCTCTGGTAACAGAGGCAGCACTGAAAACACTTTGGAGCAGGGTTTGATCATTTGGACTATGAACTCTTTGGAGAATAGATCATCGTTTTTATTCTGTGCATTTACAGGTCTACTAAAACGAAGAGACGTCACTAAGAACAGAACTTAAACTTTGCAATAAAAATAATAATGCCTTAATTAATATTGAAGTCTATTAAAGAAAATCCTTCCAACGGTCACTCCACACATTTGATGCAGTTCAAACAGCATAAACCTCAGAAGCCGATAGCAGTATCAACACTGAGGTATTTTTGCAGAAACACCAAGCCATACAAAATTATAGTCAGTTTTAAACAAAATCCACACCCAGGAAAAGAAAGGAAAACAACAAAATCAAGTCTTTCTGATACCCCACTGCACTCCCATTATCCTAGGAACTCCAAGACACTTTAGTTCATTTACAACAGACTAAGACTATGAGTGTGGAACATTTATTATCCACAAAGGAGTACATTCTTAATAAAGAGGACTGCTGCATTAATTAATTACTATTCTTCTTTTTCACACCAGCGGGCTAACCAAATGAACAAAGAACACAAAAAAACACATCAGAAAGTAACAGTTCATTCTAGATCCTTGGGGAAAATACTGCGCTCACCGAGTTGATTAGATGGGTGACTGCTACAAGAAATTAACAGTTTGTAAAAGGATTAGATGTCACAATATCTGAAAAAAAATAGTCTATTTCCATTTTATACCTACTAAAGTTGTATTTGAGTTACAATGTCTAAAAGAAAAGACATTTATGATAGTCACTAAATGTAAATGTGAAAACAGATAGAGGATTGACAGAAGTCATAATTCAATGAAAAGTTTTCCAATCAAAATCTAGATCTGACACAGATTACATCTCAAAGAATAGCCTAAGACAGAACAATAACACACGTAAGATCATACCGGGGTAGAAACCAAATCAGACAGTTAACATTCTCCTCATGGAATCAGCATAGAGTATGTTTTTGTTAAAAAAAACAAAGTCTGTGATGCTTGCTTTATATCAGTTCCCAGCTTTTAAACAAAAGCATTTACTAACAAACTATTTACCTGATGAGGAACAAGTCCAAGAGAAGTAGGTGGTTCATTCATTCTATCATCACTACTGCTGGCCACAGCATAACCACTGCCAAAAATCCAAGAAGGAAAATTAGAACAAGACAACATACCGAACAGTCAAAATTTCCAGTAAGCTTCAAGACATTTTGTTACAGTTTAGAATCTGGAAAGGAACCTATCTGAAAAATCTGTTTCATAGTAACTAAGATTCATCATGGCAATACAAAACTCCTTTTTCAGAATCAGTCTTGGAGACTTGTAACATGCTCATATCCAACTCTTAACTCACTCTTTCTTTCAGAGATTTTTCAAGACAGAAAACAGGCCTAATTTTCAGGTTACAGAATTTCAGAGTCATTTCTGTATCAAACCCACTTAATTTTACTTAAGGTTTTGCAATATTTGGCTTATCTTGAAGCCCTTCATGTGACAAAAGTAGTTATGATAGCTCTTCATTACACTCAAAGACTCTCCTGAATAAAGGAATGCCAAGATCCACTAACACTTTCTTCTTTTGAAATATTCTCCATGCTTTTCTACTTACAAACTCAGAAAGAGAGAAAACTTAAATAAAGAGAGAAACTTAAGATGTGATGTATCAGTTCTCTCCTAAACACTGTTAAATTACAGTCATACACTATACATTACATTAATTTACAGGCAACTTCACACCTTACAAAACTGTCCTAATTAATGTGTACTTTCTCCTCTCCCAAAAGATTATATTACATAAATTTTATTTCTCAGAGAACACCTTTCGAACAGCAATCCAGAAATGACTCACCCTTCTGGATGCTGTAAGACAGAAACCATTAATTCCACTGCAAGCGCTCCAGCTATCATGGCTAATCCAGGTCGACTGACCGTACATTGTTGATCCAACGTCCGATCCCTGGTGGACTACAAAGATAGACAATTCTAAAGGAAAGAAAAAAGGAACTCAACAGTAACTACCTGCCCTACTACATAAACCATCTTCCATTCTGTGCAATTTATTTCTTTAGCTTCCTAATAAAAGATGAGCTATTTCTTAATCCTGTGTACACCAACATAAAACAAATCTCTTTATGAAACGCCATTTAAAGGAAAAAAAAAATTAAGTCATGACAAAAGAGTCACATAGTCACTACTTGCATAAGGTTCTACTCACATCCCCTGGTGCCACAACATCATTGCAGAAGTAGCAACCCAGTTTATAGCCAGGGATATTTGAAAAGAGTGATGATCCCAAAAGATCAGAACCACCAGAGGCATTGTTGAAACATGAATCACCAGATTCTTGCTGTTTTGGCTTCTTCAGTCCATGTCTCATAACAACAAATGTGTCAAATCCCAATGCAGCATTGATGACCAACTGTGAACAATAAAGAGAGAACAACAGATTTTAAGTGAGCCAAAAGAGGAGGGGAAAAAGGCCTCAAGTTTTTATTCACTATAAATGTAAAAAAACCCCAACAAACCCAAATATGCTGTAGATGAACAAACAGCCTATTAACTGCAGATCTACCACTGTGAAGTTCCAGTTCTCAAGCATTTAGAAAAAAAACAAAACGAAAACAAGTCTGTTTCAGAAATCCACAAGACATTAGCTGTTTCTGCCTTTCAGGGAAATTTGATACAAATTAACGACTTTAATTGTTACACAAATCTATGTGCACTTGATGACAAAAAAAAATATTAACATCCATATATCCAAATTTGGCCCAATAATCACACAATGATTGGTATCGTGATTGGAAAAACTTATTTTGGTTCCAGCCCAGAATTTATTTTCAAGTTTGCTGCATATTCTGTATATTCATATTCTCTAAGGGTTAGAACATTCCGAGTGGCATTTAAGTACAACCGTGACTATCAATAACGAGCATTCATGTAATCTGAAATTCTTTGTGTGGTCTTTTCAGTTTCGGGTCCAAAATAGAACTCATTAAACGCTCCTGTGCGACAAAGCAATGAAACACAAGCCTGTTACCCAAAAAATTTCTGCTCGGTGAGGAAAGCAATTAATGATTACTTACGGTCTTCATATGCATCTGTTTAGTCACATGGGGAGTACAGGCAGCTGTGGTACACAATTACACTGCCATCATTTCCCCTTTCTCTCCAGTTTGTGACAAGTGCTTAGAGTAATCTGAAGCTGTACACGTTATGACTGAACTATCGTAAAGCCAATGCTTAAACCAGCATATATTACTAAACTTACAGCCAGTGATTTAGCTACAGCAAAAAGCAGAACCAATTATACAATAATGACTGCAGCCAGCAAAATATAAAGGAAGATATTCTACTGCTTCATATGCACATATTTCAGACAGAAATTCTAGGACATCAGTTTGTCATTTTTCATTCTTATAGCCAGGATTTATTTAAAATAGAGACTTTGAGAGAAGCTGTTAAGAATTAGTCATCTTTATGAGGAAGCTTGTCAGATTCATCATCATTCTTGGTATTTCAAATAATTTCTGGATATTCACTTTCGACCTTGTAGTTTATTCTTTCCTCAGTCCTAAAGGAGAACCGTGCTGCTGAATTTGTGATAGCACAACCAGGTCTACAGCAAACGATTAAAAGATTGCATCTTCTCACTGCATCTACCTGCAAAACCTGAAGATGGTGTTCTGTTTTCAAAATATGAATAACATGGCACAGTTGGTATTATCAGACATTAATAATATTGCTAAACACTTTTCACTGCAATAAACTGTTTCTCTCTCTTTAGTTTGCTGTCCAGAAACTATTTGCACCTAACTGATTGACCCTTAAACAAAAAAAGAATAAAAACATCTGGTTTTCATAAAGAGACTATAAAAAAGTGTATCTTTTGGCATGTGTTTCAAAAAGAAACTAGCAAAATTTTAAAAGTTCCAGTGCTCAGCAAGAACAGAAATTTAACATCGGTCACAGGGATTTAACATTTGAGCTCTGTGTTTGTCTAAGATACTTGTTTTGGGAGGAAGGACTGCAGGAAGATTGAAGAACATCAAGGCAACTGAATGATTACGTGGGGAAACCAACTCATATTTCTACCCCTTACAGAGAACTTTACACGGATTATCACCCGCTATGTTCTTCATTTTCTGTGTGCCTGTTTTGAGGCCTTCAGGACCAAACTGCAGCAGTACTTCAGATGTGCAGTTGTCATGCAAATTCACATTTGAAGCAGAGCTCTCATTAAGTATTTATCAACACGAAGAACACTGAAAAGCAGATACTCAGCATTTCAGTTTGGATGCCTTGATATTTCAGTGCTGTGCTTATTCAGTGACAGAGAATTCCAGCTCCTCACATCAAAGTGAACTTTACAAAAATCGAGTAACTGTGATGCAGTCTGATACACCATGTCATTGAGTATCGGCGAAATGTCACCAAAAAATTACAAAATTTGTCCTCAAAGTATGATTTGAACACTAAGGCAAAAACAGTGGGGGACTGCTAGCTCCGCAAACGTCGCGGGGGGAAAGTTTTGGGGATCACTAAAACAACCCTAACCTGACTGAAGCAGATGGAGGGGCTCCATATAAAACCACACATACTGCTTACAACTACCATTTCAATACCCAGCTTTGCTAACTTGCTCTTTTATGTCATTTCTGTGCTGTTTTCAAACAGATAAAAAGATTGCTGAAAGACCACAGGTGCAAACTACAGAAAAGACGGTAGGATCAAGTAGGAACTGATTAAGTTATCAAGTTACACACATTCAGTTACACCTGAAGTGAAATCCACATGGATCTTTTCACTGGCAGCATAGTTCACTGGTAAAGGTAAGTTCATTTGAACTCCAAAGACATACAAGCCTATCGCTCAGGATCAAAAATATATTGAAAATAAGGAAAGAATGAAAGAAAAGACTTTGGCTTGAAAAAAAATGAGAGAACTGTTCGATCTGGAAAAAACCTGGCAGAGGAAATTTAGTTGAGTTCAGATGAAAACAAACTTCAGCAGAAAGGGGAATATACTTGGAATTTAAAAGATAAAACTAGTTTGCAAATACCACAAATCTGCATTCTCCTTTCTACTGTCCAGTTTTTTGGAAATAAATATAAACACAAACAAAAGAAACCTCAAACAACTAACAACTATTAGGAAACTAGAGTTGTCAGAGCTGAAAAAAATCACAGAAGTCAGGAAATACGAAAATCAAAGACTGAATAATAACCTTGACCCAGCATGTATGTTTTCTTGCACTCTCTTGTGTTAAGTTCACAACTTAATAAATTGTTACAGGCATCATTATATTGATGCCACACAATACACAGGCTGTGCACTGTGGTTAAGCTGACGTGCTAAAAGCTTGATACTTGCATTTTCTGATTTTGTGCAATTTTAACCCAGCAAACAGGAAACTGCACAATTCTTAAATGAATTAAGAAATATCAAGATTACTTGAGACTGTTTTAACTGGTCTACATCGTGATAGCAAGGGAGGTAAGTATTCAGGATAATTTAGTTGGATTCTTCAGCAAAACTCTTATTTTCAACACTGCATTAATTGGGCGAAAGATGCTGCTTCCAGAACCCTGTGTGATTTAAGAGTATTCTTTCACAGGAAAGTTTGGATGCCACACTGTCTTCAAGAACAAAATTCACATAAAAGTAAAGGTTCTATCATTCATATCTAACCCTCTGTAAGATTTGTAGAGCAGCAAAAACTGTCTCAAAATCTCCCCATATGCTTTTGTGACTCTCCTGGAGAAATTCCATTAAGCTTGTTTTATTTCTCATTCTGGGTCATCTGACCAGATCTGTATGCTGACCACAAAAGATGTTTTAACATTTTGACCACATAAGCATTTATGCATAGTCTCACTGATCTCATACACAGAATATAACCTGTAAAGCTTCAGATACTACTTTTTTTAATGTGAGAATTCAAATCTTAATGGCATATATGGCAGCCTGTCCATTTTTCTTTGCCTTTTAACACAAGGATATTACTTTTAAGCTACAGAAATAGCTGAAGCATTCAACACTACCTGAGTAAGAGTCATGTGCAGAGTCTGGATGCATTGGCTCAGCTCAACAGTATGTTTTCCAATAAGGCAGTGAGAAAAACCCAAAGTTAAATTTTGACCGAAAAAGTGCTGGCAGACTTCTGAAGTTCAGAATTCACTTCCTCATTTTTCACTTTTGAGATATATTTTGAAAACGTCATTTCAGACAAGTTTCCACAATTCACACCCCTTATCAGTCAATCATTACTGTAATGTCTTTAGTCCTTACTATGTATGATTCTCTCACTATGAAATTACTCCTCTTAGTACTACTATGAAATACGTACCCTTTGAGATGCTCAAAAGCTACTGACCAGACAAGACCCTGAGCAACATGCTGTAGCTTGGTTCTATTTTGAACAGGGAGTTGGACCAGATCACCTCCAGAGGTTTCTTTCAACCTAAGTAATTCTGTGATACAAGTTTCTATTTCCTCTTTTCAACATTCTCTTTTTATCTTATACAGAATCTTTGAGGCTATGGAAAACAAGAAAAAATTTCAGCACAACCACAAAAGACTGGCCAAATATTTCAATTTCCCAAAAAGTTCTTTTAGGTATACATAGCTGGTTGATATGCTAGAGCTGAAATAACACGACAAGGGTATTAGCAAGGTGTGGTACAATACCTTCCTCTTGCTGGCTGCAATGACAGCAGGAAGCCATCGACTCTCTCTAGTGTCCATTAGCAGGAAAACAACATCATGAGCATCAATAAGATCTTCAAGTTTAGCCACATCCTTCCGAGCCTGTGCCATTGTTACTTCAGAAAAATTCACTGGGTGGCCTGGCATAGGGATGCTCATGTTATAGCCTTCTGAACTCTAGGTGGAGACAGACAGAAAACAACTTATTAAAAAGAAAACCTTGTGACTGAACGGAATTATTATAAAGTTGGATCAAAAATTGTAGAGTACAGATTCAATTACTCTTTGGCTGAATGGCAACTTCATTCCTTACATCTCTCTGTACATCGGTGCTGTGCACTAAAGCACTGGGCTGAAGTTGCTGAGGGAATGGCATTTATTTGTGCAGAACAGAGCAGCTGAATGCAAACGCACTAGTTTGGGTCATGAGAGCAGACCAACCATGTACAGGTGGCTTGGTGTCTCAACTAACGAGCCCGGTCTCTCAGAAGGTCTTATTAGGTCTGGCAAATCACTACGAGAAGATAGCTGAACTGCTCCTAATCCCAGAGGTAACAAATATCACTACAAGAGCAAGCAGGCAGATTTTACATACGAACACGATCCTGCTGTTAAACTTAGATAACATCTTTGTCCTGGGTCATCTTTGCAGTCCTTCACACACAATGTTAATGGGATGTAGTTTATATTTCTGATACTGAGTATTGACTCGATGACAGTAAGACAGATGCAAAGTATCACACATTCTCTTCTTTTTTAAATTCTTTATGAGAAGAACAATAGTCTTGAATGATTTTCATGTAATTCGACCAGCCATATGTGAACTTGATATAGAAGAAAATCACTTCTAAGACTTGCTACTCCAGCACTTGGATGTCTGGAGGCCTGTACTATGCAGATGCTGGAAGAGCCTGTTCTTATCGCAGAAACATATGCCTCTTCCAACTCCCTACTTGGGCAAGGCATATTGAGCAGAAAAGGGCTAAAGAGCCAAATCAGCACATACAAGGCATATACAATGAAAACAATTAACTCACTCATTTGGAAATACATTAACACAATCTGCCAGCCATCTGCTACAAGAGAATAATGGATCCTTCATATATATTACAGAAGCCTAGGCCTTGCCAAAGTCTCCTTGCTGGTCGCTGTGCTGTAAGCAACTAACAACTTAAAAGCCAAAATTTAAAAGCTAGATGAACCAAGCATAAAATTACATGGGAAGAGAGGAAAGGAATGTTGGTGGAACGTGCTTTTGTATAGACCAATTACATGCACAACTCATAAATCCAGGTGAACCAAGTAACCAGAATGGTGAAGTACACGTTCCATGTATCATAAATATCCCTGAAGATAAAAAAAAATGAGACATAGAGCAGGTGGGGGAAATGAATTTGAGTACTATCTGCACTAACCATATTAAAGGATGCATCTTTTCCCCCACCACTTCCTTCCTCCCCATCACCACTGCCACCTCCAAGGAGAAAAATGTAAGGTCCGCAGTGATCTAAGTAAGCTGTTAATAGGGCAGCTCCACTGGGTCCCAGTGAGGACAGCCTGGGTTCTGCATCACCAGCACAGACAATGCACAATACTGGAGGAGATTTTACCTCCACTTTTATCACCTCTAAAAAGCTGTAGCAGGAACACAAAACTTAATCCATGCTGTATATGAGTAATGTATTTATGGATAACTCAAGCCTCTGTAATATATACAAGTGCTTATTTATTAGATAAGTATAACTGACACTGTTGGTGACTTAGGAGGTCAATTTTTCTTCAAAAAAATAAAACAAACAAGTAAATAAATAAGTTGAACTGTACTTGCACAGAAATATGGTAACAAGGTTTGTAAAATACCGAAGTCTTACCAGAGTTCAGAAAAAAACTCTATCCAGTGACTGTAGCAGTAGGAATACATACAAGTCTAGCAGCTTCAATTTTATTTGAATAACTGTGTCTTGGAAAAAAGACATCAGTCACGAGCTGAGGTACACTTTTGCAGCTAAAAGCTGGCAAAAAGAGGTAAAAGGGTGCCTTGCGATGGCACATGCGTATTATTTTAAGGAAAAGTAAATGTGCATATACCCTCAAAGACACATCTCATTCATTCCACAGAATTTCAAAACCTCCGGGAATCTTTACATGATAAAAAGAATTCTGCTTGACTGCTCACAAAAAGGCTTAGATTTAAGACCAGGGCCTTCATACTAACAAAAGATTTAAAATGCCTCCAGATTATCCAAAACAAAATAATACTTAAGTTACCGTCCCATGAAGTATTAGAATCGCGTACTTATTAAAAAAAAGAGACTGTGTGTTGACGTGCAAAATTATAGAAGATAATGCACTTTTCAACAGTTTCACTGACAGCTGACTAAAGCTGTGCTTGAGGCTCTGGTGCTGTTTGGTTGGTTGTTTTTTTTTTTTTTTTAAAGCAAACAGACATCAAAATGTTCCAATTTGTGGTGCTACCACAACCTTCTCTCACATTTTTATTCACATTACTGTTAACTGTCTGCATTTTTTGTTAAACCATGGCTCAGATCACTTAGAAGATATCTGTGCTCAACATATTGAACCTGAACAGAGGGGTGCTGTGAGTAGGCACACACAAAATCAAGAAATGTGATGCTAGCATCATTAAATTCTGCTATTGGAAATACCTACACGAATGATCCTCTGTGCAGTATAGTACAAAAGATGATAAAATGCTGAATACACTAAAGTTCCATGCCTGAATACTTCAGGAAATGATTGTATAAGAGAGTCAATAAAGTTAAATTCCACGGCAGGTATATGAATGACTCTGTGTGTTACCTACTTGTAATGAAAGGCTGTGAATCCATAAATTCTGCTATTTCCGAGTCCTGCCTTCTTTTTTATTATAAAACTCTAAGCTACAGCTAATCTTAGAAGTGGAATGAAAAAAATCAAAGCTCCTTGCCAAAGCATTCCTTCTTGTTTCATTTGCAATGATGAGGCGGTTACTCTTCCAACTAGAAAGGATGTAAAATTCAAAAAATAAAGAATTCATACAGAGCAGGCAAGCATTTCAAAGTCAACCAGGAGAAACTGCATTTTGCATGCAAAATATTACTCACACTGAAATCAAACAGAATAAATTAGACTGCAAGTGAATGCACAGAAACGTAAAACCAAATTTTCAGAAATGCCTTCAGAACCAGCAGTACTGCTTGGATTCCCATGGGCTTGAAAGGACCGTGTGGGTTTCCAAATAGCAAGAGACAGCTTTGGCTACTCCTTCAGTCTGAGAGAAACCAGCAGGCTCAAAATCCACAACAACTAATCATTTGATTCCAAGACATTTATACTGATAAATATGGAGGTTTGGTAACAAGCACTCGTGCAGTCTGCAGTAACAGACAGAGCTCTGTTTTGAGAAGTCTGGCAAAAGCAGCTAGATTTTGCAGCCTCCGGCTACAGCAGCTTCACTGTCCAAACTGTCCCAAAGCACCAAGGCTTTATCCAGGCTAATTAAAGACTTATTGTTAATCCCATGTGCTTGGCCTGCTGCTTAAACCTCACCGCTCTCACATGCTGTCAACATGACAATAACTATTGAACCAGAGTTTCCACAGTTAAGGCCTGCTAATTTTTTAATGCTTGCATGTTGTCTCTCTACATATTTAATGATGGTCAAACATGACACCTCTTCTGCACGAACTCTACTGTAGAAATGAATTTGATTGAAAAATATATTAGAAACATTCTATCATAAGGATACACAGAATCTGTGCAACTGCCTTCTCCTCATCTGTGCCACAAAGCTATGAAAGTCGGTGTGAGTCCCACCGAAGGCTGATCACCTGTAACCCATCTAGGACACGAGGAAACATCGGACAATGCGTAACACTGATGGGGATAATGTGCTAAGAAAACAGTGGTAGATGCAGAACATTTGAGGGGTACGGTAGAGGAAAAATTAATTACATACAGTATGGGTCGCACATTGGATATGCTATTACTGAACTGGAAAATTGTTTTTTTCCTATGTGTACTACGTGTCCTAGCACTTATTGATACAGGCTCACTAAAGCTTTGTTATTGGTTCCCTCTTATTACTGGAAGTTCCTCTCCAGGTTACATTTAGCTTTTTTTTTTTCTTATTCTTTCTTTTTAAAGCCTCATCACAATCTCAAGATTTCATAGCACAGACGGGTCTTTGTTTCTAACAAGAAAACTTGTAACACTAACTTTTGGTCTTTATCTCTACGTGCAAAATTGTATCATTCAGGATTCCACGAACAGCTTTTATTGCTTCTAATTAAACTACTCATTCTTCCTTAATATTCCTATTTTCATTTTTTCAAGTTTAAAAAGTAAAAAAATCACGCGACAAATTCTAATTGGTGCTCTCCGTGACACCACACATGCTTTCTTTTCTGCACTTGTTCTACTATTTAATATTTCTATAACTACACGAATATCACCAAGTAACAATAACACTATAATGCAGCAAGATTAAACAGAATTCTAGGAAACTTTCGGACAGTCTCTACTGATTTACTTATCAAAAGTTCTGCAAGTGAAATGTTTAGCATTTTTTCATACTGAGGATCATTGTGATATACAGATACTCACTGAGTTACTGCTTAGTACCAATAATGATTTCATAAATAATGACAATAATAGGATCAACACAGACAAAACCAGAACAAAAACACAGAGCAATCCTTGGGTCAAATTAAACAAACATAAAAAGGTTTGGAAATGATCTTCTGTAAAGCTTCTTCACCACACTGATCATCACCAACATAGCAGATCTAAATTCCACTGCTCACAACTGTCAATAATATTATGACTAGTAACATAATCAGTGGCATTTTAAATACAGAATTGCATAGTACACATACATAACTCATTCTTAATACACTAAGTGGTTAAGATACTGTTTATCAGCTGAGCTCTGGTAACTATAGCTACCAATCCTAAGGCAGTCTCAATTCCAAAGTAAAAACTATCATCAGTTGAGTTACTTCTATCACATGTCAAATGAGTATAAAAAAATTTTTGTTCATGATAGACCAAGCTGAGAGCACGTCTATTCTGAAATTGTAGACCATATAAATTCTTCTCTCAAATGAAGGATGAAACTAAAAGAACTGCAAATATTTGTAAGTTGTTTTTCTTTTTAATCTACTCTTTTTCCAGCGTTGAAAATTAGGTGTGTTTGAACACATGCACTGAATAATGTTTGTATGATGTGCATCCTTGGAGTCAAAGAGGATAAAGGCTGCCATTGGCAGGCCTTTCATCATAAAGCTTCTAAAACATAAAAATTCACTCATGTCTTTTGTTTCCTTTCAAATACTTCATTCTGATAGAAAGTTGTTACCCTCAGGCTCCCCAGAGAGAAGTACTTTGGTCAAAGGCCAACACTAATACCTTCTCCAGGCTGCTAGGAACTACTTCCCTTTTCAGGATCTGATTCAGTTTGCTTAGTTCTTGAAGAAAACAAAAGCAGCCAAGAAAGTTCTCTTACATCACCTTAATACCCTGTACTACACTTCAATGCAGAGCAAGTTTTTAATCAATGCTTGCTGCTATCAAGTTATTCTGGGCAAAACCAACAGAAAAATCAACTGTCAGTTTCAGAAGTACAATTTTTTCTTTTACTTGTATTACACTACTGATCATTTGTAAAGCAAAATGTCCATCTACAGCAACCTTGAGAACAATAGGTCATTAAATTCCAAAGGCAGCATAACCAGTTACAGATTAAGGATTTGCCTCATGTAAAAAATAAATAAGATTGCAAATTTTGGGTGTAAAACATAACAGGAAATCTCAACACCACTTTTATTACTGCCTTCAAGACTTTTTGCTCCCATAACAGACAACTAATGTGTCTAAATTCACATTTCAGAGCAGAGTGGGAAAACACAGTATTAAAAGCAGCCATTAATGAAAGTTCCTTAGGACAGGAAAAAAATTTTACTTCACCATCAATGAGCTACAAGATGATTCAGATGATCCTTAATTATATTTCATTGTTATAAATATTTATTGTCTAAAAAAAGTTTAACAGGTATGGAGTACTCGAAGTAAATTGCTTACAGATTTCTCAGTAATCAATCCAGTAGTATTTTTCCCCATTCATAATAATGCTGAATTACCAGAACTTTTTCAAGTCACTGGTTCTCTTCCAAGGAACATATTAACACATTTTAAATACTGATCTTACCACTCCTGGGAAGATTTTCTGCAGCCTGTCTGCAGCTGCAAGTGCTTTAGGCTTTCCACCACTAAGACAGTCTTCAAACTCATACAGCGGCTGTCGTACTGGGTTAGAGTAGGAGATCTTTGCATTGTCCACAAATGTAATCTTCCTCACTCCCCAACCCTGAATAAGAAAGTATTTTAAAAAATTATAAGTACAATGGACTTAGCCATATATTTCTGAGTAATGCCAGAAACTCAAGAGGAGTTTTGTCCAATTTTCCTAGAAAGATCAAGCTACAAAAGCTTTTGAAGCTATTCACAGGAGCCTTGTAGTTGCAAGAGAACAGAAAATTTGGTCTGTCCAAATATAGCATTTAGCAGTAATCCCGCAAAACCCTACCGAATTCAGTGGGATGTGGCAAATATCCCTGAAAGCAAATATCAGCACAATTACTTCAAGTGCTGGTCACACTAGCTTGATTATTTGTTTCGGAATTTCTTGTTCAATCTTTTTTTATGTAAATTCAAAACAAATTACTATTCTGCTAAGGTTCTTTTACTATCTGCTATGCTACTACTAGCGGAACTTCAAGTTATTTCCATTGGCTACAGATCTTACCTCTTCCCTGCAATTTATAACATCAACTAACATGTATTATGTGTACAATAATATAGAGGAATACAACTTTTCTCTTATGTGCCATGGCAGCTGCTCAGAAAAAAAAACCAACATACAGAATTTATGAGAAACAGCAGATTATTTTTAAGACTAACTCAGGACTTACCATTAAGGTCCTTGCAACACTACAACCCAGTGTACCAGCTCCTAGCAGCAGACACTTGGCAGACACAATTTTATCCAAATCAAGAGTAGGCACCAACCGCCAGCACATCAATTTCAAATTAAGATCCACTGATGATTCTGCTAACCTTTATCACGAAATAAATAACAACACACTTCTGAATGTTCTTGTGTTTCTCCAACAAAGCAATTACTTCTATTTCAACTGAAGAAGTTCAATGCTTTTTTTCTTTAAGGCAAGAAAGAATTCAACAATTCAACATGCAGGTAATATGAAAAACAAAGTCCCCCAAGAATACTTCCACCTAAGAAAAAGGTGCATGGCAAGGAGATCAGCAAAAAAAATAGTTTCCTGCATCTGGTTACATCTGTCCTCAATATGAAATATTATATTCACCCTCTAAGGATTGAAGTCAGTTCTTCATGGAAATATTAGAAGGAAAACAAGGTAGGAAATCTATGCTCAAACTAATGTCAGATTTCTGTACTCATCAGAACACAAGGTGTTAAAAACTTTCATCAAGTCAGGTTATCACGAATCGTCCATAACGTAACAACTGGCACAGGAAAACGTCAGAAGAAAAAAAAAAGTCCATTCAGAGCATGACTCTCATTCACTCTCCTGCTTCCTCTTTCCAAAGGAGTATATTGCTTCACACAGAATAATAATGCTCATCCCTCTACTCCTTCTCATGCAACTCCTTACAATTGTTTTGCCTTCCTTGTCTTCAAATCAGACATGCATATAAGTTCTCAGATTCCTGACAGTTTCGCTCCCTTATAGATCATAAACCTAATTTTTGCAGTATCCAGCAAATTATTTGTTCAACAAGGATTTAAGATCACAATTGCCAAGGCTGGCACATTACCAACAGTCTCTACGGGAATTAACAGAAGTTAGCATGCATACAAGTAAAGAAGGTCAAGTTACATTTACTTAAAGGATTATGAGCCCCCAGATGAACCTTTTCTTACGTCTGTGAACACACTCTGAATCACCACAATTGCAAGACAGAAGTGGCTTGGCTGGATAGGTACAATATGTTAACCTAAATCATCAGATCAACACATTCCTACAGTGTTGCAACTTCAAGAACACACACTGTCACTGAAAGCAGATGAGGCTGTGCAACTAGACTGCTTTTGATCTACTGCCCATACATTATGTGCAGAATGATAAAAATTACTGAGGTAACGTTTCCCGAGCTCTCTCCTGTCACATCCTAACAATTCCGAAAGGCTGAAGTTTTCTCTGTCTTATTTTCATTATATTTAACAACTTGCAGGTTATAGAATTCAATGAATACCACAGGCCTGTAACACTATGACCTACATTCCATTTATAATGCATTTGAAATTTTAAGCTAGAGTCAAAAACTGCAAATGTTTTTGCTACATGCAGTGCACTCTGCTCTATTAAGGTCCCTACCTCCAACAGGACTGTCCAAAGAACACACAATGTATGCGTTACTGTATATTCTTACCTAGCAGAGACAGAGAGCCCTTGCATTTCACATTTCAACTTGTTATGGCTTAAGCCCAAGTAAAGAAAACTAAAGAAATTTGAATTATAATAAACAAACCTTTTTGGATCCATGCATTCACTGAGATTCACCATCCTTGGGCCCATGCCTCCCTTTTGGTTTTTCTCCCATCCAACAGCTTTTGGACAATCTATTTGACATATGGAGAAAAAAAAAAAAAGGAGAAAAAGAAGGAAAGAAAGAATGAAAGCCTTAATATCACAGGATAGAATAAAGAAATTTTGTTGGATTTAATCTGGTTGGAAAAAAATAAATTCTAAACTTGTAAGTAAATAATCTATATCTTAACAATCCAGTAGACATTGCTCTACAAATTTTGCTGGTTTGCATCAAGTGAAAGCACTGCTTCTTGAAGAAGTGTTTTACTCGCAGGTATCCGATGTGCTGCTTTTGCCTGTTCAGCTTGCTTCAAACCTAGAACAGAGATGGTATCATTCCTCACCAAGCCTCTGGATCTTTAATGTGAAACAGACTGCTATATTCAGAACTGAGTACATTGTACCAAGTTCAGTCATCTCTTCATGTCCCCTAGACCCCATTCCTAAATTCAGTAGAGAATTATATATCCTAATTATATAATTATTAAACAATTCACACTATAAAGCAATCAGAACTTCTTGGATGAAGCAGAGAAATTTTGTGATGTCCTGTACACAGAAATTAAGTCTGAGTTTGTTCTCACGGTACAAGAGTATCGCTTTAAAATATGCCTGCCAACCTCACTGTGGAATTGAAGAAACAATTCCACGCTGTAGCAGGCTTCTAACGTTTTAGAAATATACAGAAAGTCTGCATCACATAAATTCACTATCATATGCATTTTTTCTAGCTGAAGGACTGTGTATGAGAGACCAATTGCGAATATGTCTGGTTTTTATATTTCATATGACTTTTTTTTTAATTAGAAACACGATTTAAGGAGGAAAAAATTAAAAGAGAATATGCTCTCTTCTTTCTTTTTTGAAAAAGGAACCATTTCCTTTATAGACATCTAACAGAAATTCAAACCATTTAAAATTCATTTGAAATAACTTAGCATAAGCAATGATTTAGTAGTATTAGCTTATTTTCTTCCATCTTCACAGTGATTGAGGAGGGAGAAAAAAAATGGGAAAGCTGTGGGTTTTTTTAATGGATTACCTGAGCCAAGGACTCTCTCTGGAAGTTTTATTTCAAAGATAATGCTGTGTGTTATGTCTCTCACTCCTTGCATGGTCCTATCTCTGAAGCAGAGCACTTCAACTGACTGGAGAACGCTGCCCCTGCCATTTCAAAAAAAAGAGACAGACATGCAACTTCTTTAATAGAAAAAGGACCTCTTCTAAACATTATCTCACACAGGTTTAGTCTCTTGCAGATTCTGAATAAGGATTTTTCTGTTAGTACTAGAATGCTGCTGTTCTGAACAGGTATAAATAAAAACAATTGCTTACTATATGAAAATTACTAGTTTGTTGTGAAACAGCTCTAAAGAAATGACACTGTCAGCCTGTACTCTGTCATTTATACAATGCTGCTGGACAAACTGCATATTTAGGGGAATAAAAAAAAACAGGGAAGCAACAGAGCACACATCAGGTGACATGAGGAACTTTGCCATGACACAAGCAAGATCCTCTTATCATTTTTCTTCCTTATGATTCAAATCCCCAAATCAAACAATTATAACTTTAGTGCCTAAAAACCTCTGAATCTCAGAATGTGTAAAGCTCTCTGGGCACTGACACATCATTCCATGTTACAGTTCAGCTAGCAGCCCAGAAAATGCCACACCTAACTGAGCATTTCTTCTCCCTGCTGTGTGCTTTGTAATAAAATGTAAAAGTCAGAACTATGAAAATGCAACTTACATTTTTGTAATTTGCTGTTGTTACAGCAACCCAATTTTATATTATACTTTAAATTATATTTTTTTCAAATACCAGAGTGGAAAACTATGTCTTGTCTTCTCAACTTCCGCCCAACAAAAAATTCAAGAAGGTACACTAAAGAAAGCCTAAGAGTATCCAATTTTCAAAATTTAGGTCTACTATTACTCGGCACTAACTAACCATATAAAAAACACAGAATATTTTCACGAAGATGTGAAACAGCTAGAGGGTATTGGCAGGGTCTGAAGCATGTATTTCCAGTTACACGCACACATGTGAGCAGTAGGAATAATAGGAACTTGTGACTTACAGAAGTAAAAAACAGAGTAATAAGCAAAATCGAAATCATTGAAGGTGAGTCACATCAAGGTTAAAAGTTAAATCTCAGGTGAGTGATACAAGTAAAGTGTCATGGGGAAAAAATTCCTAATTTGGTATCAACCAATAAATAATCCTTGTGGGAAAGAATGAAATAGATACCATTTGTAGGCTGCCAGGATCAAGAAGTTTCTCAGTGGCCATCCGGGATAGTGAGATAAATTACATGGATCATAAACTCCAACTGTCACCTGCAAACAAAATTGCTCTAAATGAGAAGCCATCTATCCATACTGATACTCAGTTCACAGTAAAAGTTCACTGGCATTTTTAATGTAAAACTCCTGAACAGAGAAGGCCTACACACATATTTTACGTATTTACAAATGCTTAATACATGGTCACACTAGATTTCAGTCAAGCATTTGCCACAGCTTCGAGATTTGTTCGGTTTAGCCTCTCTAAGGACGCTCACTTGTCACTCCACCATGTGCACCTTCCTCAAACACACCATTAGGGGAGAAGCCCAACAACTGAAGTCTTGCTCTCAAAACAAAATTCTGTGTTGATTTTCGGGTGATCAAAAAGTGAAAGGAGATGGGCCAGCAAGATGTCAAGTCAAAGGAAAAAAGAGCATAAATTCACTTGTAAAGCCAACCTTCAAGATGAGATCTAAATAAAGGAACTGGACATTCTGTCGCATGTTCAAGCAATGTTAATACCACACTCATAATTCAGGCATCTAAACTAGGAACTTTCTTCACAGTCACTGCAGAACTAAAACACACCCAGAGACTAGAAAGATGCCACTGCCAACCTTTAGATATGCTTTAAATCTGAATTGGCCATCACTAGCAATACCTGTGTCTCTCATCTCCTGCTTCTTTGCCACCAGATGGACTTAGAGTGAGTGGTCTCAACTCCACCACATCAGTGAGGTGTCCCTAGAAACAGTCTGAAATGCAGACGAGGCAATCCAACAGATGCAGGTAAGAGAAACTGTCCTATGGATGAGGAGCCCACTCCTCATCCCTTCTCCCAGCCATACACTACTGCTGCTTTGCAACTGCTGACTCAAGCAGGCACAAGACCCCTTACTAAGCTGATTCAATTTCATAAACTATCAGAAAGTTAACTCAGCAACAGCAAAACATATGTTTTTCTTCCAGGGGAGCAAGTTCAGCTGGCTCACTGAAATACAAATAAACTCTACAGGCAGTATTGATGCAATAAATCTTATCCAACAGGTCTAAAATTTTGGCACTTTCCTCCAAAGTGAATGTTAATGAAGAAATATATTCCAGATGATTACAGATTTCTCTCATATTGAGAATGTTCCTATTTAATAAAGTATACTCTTATCTGTGACCCTTTATTGTACTTATACTACTATTTAAAATCTCAACCTTCACATTCTTATTTTACAAAGAACTGTAGACCTAGGTCTTAATTTCAGAAAAACAAATCTGGAAAAGCAAAAAACCAATCCAAGATCAAGCATTATAAAACAGAATTATAAATTACTTATATAAGGTGTGACAAGATCTCCTTAACAAAAAAGTCTTTTTTGCATTTATTAGCTCTTCACCATAACTCAGAGTTTTGACTCCTTCAATAGTATGCAAGACAAAAAATAGTCCTAAGTTCACCAAAAATACAGTAAATCACTCAGAAAGGCTAGCAAAGCTCAGCAGCTGAGCAACATGATCCAAACCAGAATCCAACACACACGAACACAAGCCAACCAAGCCAGTCAACTCTTGCTGTGATGACATCTGCTCCATGTATCTTCATAAATTCTTCCCTAACTGAAACAATGGACAGTACTCACTTTACACTGAAAGGACATGCGTGATCTCTGTATTTAAGAGAAGAAATACTCCAGCCTCTTCTGGTGTGCAACTCACTTATCTTAACAAAACTACAAAGCATTTACTTTGAACATTCTCCATATACAGATTCTCAGCAATTTCTGTCCAAAGCTCTCATATTACGACACGTATATATGGCAAAACACACATTGAAAGTTGAAAACTCCCCTATAGTATTCCCTGATTACTGTTAGCACAACCGACAAATATATGAGTATCAATGTTTAGTACACAAACAATAAAAGAAGTGGTTTACTTTACTATAGCATTGTCGGTACAGCGGCTGGAAAACTTTGTTATGCTAACTCTTCCATAAACTTAACGCTGTTTCTGTTCTGATAATGAGGGACACAGAGCACGAACAACTTTGTTTTCAAGCTGAGTGTAACTGGGCTTTGGCGTAACATCTAGAGACATTTAACTTGACACACACAAAAAAAATCAATCCAAGCTGCTGCTCTTCAGCTACGTACCCAGTCTCTTTATTGGCCAACCACTGTGCCCAGCTCAGCACTACAGACACTTTCGAAACCATTTGTATATTAAACATTTGTAGGTTATAAAAAGACATCGAATTCTCATTACCTTTGCCCCTTGGTCCTGGAAGAAACCATCCCACTTTTTCAGCAGAGATATCATGACAGTATTGTCATGATACTTGATTAAAAAATAAGGCAAGGCTGTAACCCCCTCCTTCTGGCAAAGCTCATCATATGCTTTCTGAAGTGCTTGAATCTACAAGCAAAAAGACAACTGTAACCAACAGTTCTAACAATCTCACATAGAGCCACAGAAAGTGTTATAGCATCTGGGAAAGTCAGGTCACTCAAGTAATCCTAGAACACAGTGTGTTCTCAAATTTTAAAGCCCATTATGACCACAACAACTGAGATCTAAAATCCAGTTACAAAACCAGCATTTGTCAATGCAAATTTTGAACAGGGGCATTATTATCGTTGCCACAAACTGATATACCAATACAAATTAAAACGAGATAAAAATCTCATTCTGATAGTCACAGTAGCTTTATAAGAAAGTAAATCTGTCCCTCTGTTATTAGGAAAAGAACAGAGCCCCATTCCATTTACTTTGTTACATACATTTTCAGTGTTAAGTTGAAACTCTGTCTTTAGATCATGACAGGTATTTTTACACTATTTATTACTACAGAACTAATGAGGGTCTTCTGAGAAGAGAAAAACTAAACATTTTTCACTGAAAAAATGCAAACTGTTTCTCATTGATTATTATGCCATTACAAAACCACTCTAAGTTCTATTGCACTAAGTTCTGTCAAAGCACAAAGGCACATGTGGGTAAGTAGATTTTTTTATGTCCTTTTGCATTGTAATAGAAAAGAAACTACAAAAAATTGTTAGCTTTTATTCTAAAAAAAATAAATCTTCCATACCCAGTTCTTTTTCTTGTCCATTTATGTGTTTTATTAACAATTTTGTAATTGCTAATGACTTAGCTCTCCCAGGGTATGCCCCTTTAAAAAAGTTTCTTAGAAATAAAACACGTTTCAAAAACATAGCTATAGAGTCAATAAGCTGCATATAAAAATTAAAATTAATAAATTGTTTGCCACATCTGCATCTAAATGAATAAAGCTGAAGTGATTTTAAGCTATGAGATTTTATACAGTAACAAGAAAAGAGGTAAACAAAAAACAACATGAAAACAAATAAAAAAAAAGATCTAAAAGAAATTAGATTCTCAAATTAATTCAGTTTTTGTAGCAAAAATTAAGTTTTAAGCCCACAAAACTGCTTACTGCTACAGACTTCATAACATTCAGTATTTCAAATACCTGATTTAATGAGAATCTGTCACCGAGACACACTGGTTTCTGAATTACATGTATTCCATCAGGGAAGCAGAGAGCCGGGTAGCAAAACCAGTAATAGAAGTGATATTTTTTTAAATCCTAGAAAAATATTTTTGTAAAGTTAGATAATAAACTTATAAATCAAAGTAAATTATGGTTTAGAATACTAATCATAATCAATGGGTAATGATACTAACCATACCATCCATAGTTCTCTCTACTTCACAGGGCATTGTGTCATGACTTTAGAAACCAATAAAAAAAAATACTGGAAGACTTCTCTTCTCTGTATACGCTTTTATTTAAGATTTAAACAGACAATGTATGTACAACACTTCAGTTTTTGTTAGCTGGAGCATTATCCATAAAAAACTTTCAATTTGTTACACATGAAACAGTTGCTCTACTTACTAATAAGGTGATCAGATAATCTTACACGTTTGTAGAAAAGAATATAGGATGGCACCAGCGTTTTTTAAAGAATACTTCCTAAAATATTTTATCTCCATACATGAGAATGGCTTATTAGATATTTAAAAATGTTTTCAGACATTTTAATATGTCTGAGAATGATTCTGATAACATTTATATGCTAATACTAATACAGTATTTCTCCTAAAAAGAAACTACTTCTTCATTTCCATTACAATGCTGTAAGTATGAGACATAGCATTGTTACTCACTGCGAATGTCAGCAGCAGGAACCTGTTCAAAAGCATAGGGTTTTCAAGAGCAGCTCCAGATTTTATTGATTCCCATATCTGCCATTGATTGAGGGGACAAGAAGGAAGAGAAAGGGCAGAGAAACAAAATACCAAAGTAGCATGAGAACAGCTGCAGAAAACTTTTAATTCTTCCAGCTACCTTTAAAATACTGCCAATATAATTTCCAGTAATCCATCGTGATCTTTTCCTAACCAATCCCATCCACACTATAATCCATGCTAAAAGGATTCTAAAGGTAAGACACAGACATGCACTCTCTAACACCAGAAACTATGGAAGCTGCGGAACAAGCAGAGCATTAGTTCACAGATAGAGCACAGAGCATTGAACAAAACAAAACAAAGCCCATCAGGAACAGTGCCTCATGTTTATGACCTACTAACACTAGGAAAATATAGAATATACTGTGACATTAATATAGCCTTTCAGTGTACTCTCATCTTTTTCATCGATGGAATCTATAGACATGTGAATCAGCTACTAGGAAATCTGACCAAAAAAATGGAGACTCGCAAGAAGGCATTACACTCATGGAATCTATAGACATGTGAATCAGCTACTAAGAAATCTGACCAAAAAATGGAGACTTGCAAGAAGGCATTACACTGCAAGTCAGTGAGATAAGAAGCTGTAACACATTTATGAGGCAGATCTGTTTGTCTTAAAAAGAAAAATACAAGACCAAACAAAGCATTCTGACCTTCCCAGTTTTGAATTGTACCTGCTACTGGTAAGGAAGTGCTAAGCCACAGGAACACAAAAAATTCATAGCCTTGAGTGAAGATAACGAACGAAAACTTTGCTACTCAAGGTCAGCAGGCAGAAAATTAATTTAATTAAAGGAATCAAGGATTGATCAAAGTGAAGTCTCTCAAAACGAAAAAAATTGCTTTTGTTTGATTTTCACTTCTTCCCAAGCCATGACATTTAATTTTGTTAGTTACAGTGCAAGCAGACTAGCCCCTTCCTTTGAAAGCCAACTTTTTCTTGCTTTATCTCAGTCTTCTGGCTGTTCTGGAGCTTCCCCATCACTTTGTCACACAGATGTTTTGCAGTAATCTAAAGTTTAAACCAGGCACTTGCTGGTTTCTGGGTGCCAAGACGAATTTCAAAAATGTGCTCGACAGAATTCAAGTCACTGGTAGCTCCAATAGCACTGTTAAGCTTAAGATGTGGCCTAGTAGAACACTGAAGTCCTCAAAGTATAATTAGCTACTTTCTACTCTCTGGTAAAGAACAGTAAAAAGCAAACATCAAACTATTCCTTCCATAATAAGCTAAATCCTGAAGCTACTACATGAGCGAGTACAGACAGTACCTCCAATATCTGGGGCAGAGACAATGGAGCACTTCCCTGGCTATTTTCAAACCCTTCCTACCTGTTGACTTGATTTTTAACCTTACCTCATTTGCTTCTTTTTCCAGAAGTGATTTCTTATCGCAGGATTTAAAAGTCTCAAAAGTGTTGGTATTATACAATTTTCCGAAAGCAGGACAGCAACGTGCTGGTATGGAAGCATTCCTGAATAAAAGAAAGAATCCTCTGGGAAATGAATGCTAATGCCTTTAACATGATCAGCAGTAGTAGCAGTAGCTATCCTATGCTGTAAGGTTGCCCTGAAATCATCAAACGATGAGGCACAGTAAAAAAGTTAACAACAGTTCTAAAGAAAACATTTTTATAATCATAATGCTTTATTGAACACGGATTGGTATAATAACCTGTGCAAATACACGTCTACATTATGACTTCGAAAATACATCAGGCATCTGTACTATCTCTAAGCAAGGTGGCATTAAATCATAGATTGAAGATTTGAAACTTCTGTTCAAATATGAACTACCCATGACAAATGTGATTTTCACGAAGAAAAAATTATTAAGGCTGAACTTCAGATGTCAGTATTTCAGTCACATAAAGAGTTACTCAGTTAAAATGGCATGTTTAAAAAACATCCCAAAGGAAACCTAAACCAGAAAAAAGATTGAGTAGTTTTTACAGTTTGTAACATCATCAGCTGAAGAAGCTGCTGTTTGCAAACACAGTATAGATTTTCCCCCCTTCTGAATGTAAATCAGCTAAATAACCTACATTACTCCCTTAATTTATAGATCTGATTGATTTCATTAACTCCTTTCACATCGTTCTCCCAAACTGTTGTTTCTGACCACTGCTAAAACCCAAACACATCAAATATTTACATTACATAATAAATACACATGACGTAGTTTCCAAAAAAAGTAAAGTTAAAAGGGAACTCTTCATGATCATCTAAACTATCTAAAGTACAGAAACAGAAGTACAGAAAATTACTACAGTAGAAGGAATAATTAAACATTACATAAACAGACCTTTCATAATTGTATTTTTGTCATAAAATTTGAGAGCTCAAACACCACAGTACCATCCATTTTTTCCCAATCTGAAGTTCCTGTTCCCAGTATCACAGTTTGCTTCCAATTGCATATCACTAGATACGCTTTCACTATCGTATCTAAAAGTTCTTCCATAAGAATTAATGGAATAATGTCTCTTATGAAATTATCTCAAAATACACAAAGCCTCACTAGGCTCCTAACATGCTCACCAAGCAAGGCAGAGAAAGTCACTTCTGTGATTTACAACTTTATAATCCACCAATTTAAGACAAACAAGACAATAACTACGAAGACATCTGTTCCTATGCTAAATACACTAACTTAGGCATTTGCTGAAAATGAAAACCATGTGCAAAAAATATTTTCCCTCTCATCTCATTTTTGCTGTGTACACTGAGCAGCTTTGATTTTTCTTTCACTTCAGGGGAAAAGGCAAGACTACAAAATTCCAGTCATAAAGGTTAAATACTTTGGAAGATACTACAACGTAACAACTAGGAATCGTAAAAACGATTTTGAGATCCTAATTCTAATGATGAATCCTCAATAACTAAAGATTGAGGAAAAATTTGGCCAGAAGTCAGATTACTGAATATCCTCCCTTACACAGAAGAGCTGAAGAAATGGGGTGGAAAAAAAAAAAAAGATATTTAATATAAACATATATACAAACACTGAGTGAATTTGAGACTTACGAGCATATTTTAAAGTTGGATGAATATACTACTTCCAACACAGAGAGCTAATGTTTGCGACTCAAACAGTCTCTCCACTGTTACAAAGTTCATGAAAACGTGTATTTATTTCCATGTGGAATATGTTCAAGTAATATTGCACATCAAAGCATTACTGTTATGCAAGGAAAGTGTCTTCCCAAGTGAGTGAAGGTAAATCACAGTACATACTTACATATCAAAGGCACTAAACTCCAATGTCAAGCGAGCTGGCAAACCCAAAGGATCACCTGGACAAAGAGCAGCAACATGCTTCTTTTAAACTGCAATACATAGATTAATTTTCCTCTTTTTGTTAACATGAGTTACAAATTATCTGCAGACACACTAGAATTCAAAGCTCACCCAGCTGTGTTTTCTAATGTTTCAGCAAAATGCCTAAAATATGTGACACAAACACTTAAAGGAATGACAGGAGAGAAACCCAAATGACTAAGCAAGATGTTCAGTTTATACTTACCATTGTAGTAATACCCTTTGATAATTTTGGGGGTCTCGTCCAATCGGTACTCGTTGAGTTTCTTCTGGGTTAGTTCGTGCCAGAATCCTGCATCCAAGGCACTACTGAAGGGAGCAAACTGCAGCTTTGAGATTCCAGGATCTACAGGATGGTGCACCTCACGACTGGCAGCTGCCATGATTTTAGGTAACGATCGTTGTTAAACAGAGTTCTGGAAGGGCAGATATCCCTGGTAAGTAGTACATACTCGACTGACCATACTACTCCTGGCTACTCAAAGCCTCTTTTTGATACAATTTTTTGGGTTAAAAAGTAGAAAACCTTACTCTACTGAATGTCTAAGTGACACTAATTTTTAAAATAATTGATCAGAGGTCCTTTCAGTCTAAGCAAAGTCCTTCCAATTTCTTGTACATAAATTACAAAAGGCAAGGACATGTCCTGTTTGGCCAAGCTACCTAGGAAGGATCCGATTTCCTGACAGACATTTCACGATTTCTCCTGTTACTTAGGATACCACAGCTGAACTAAGTACTTCTGAGTTGTATCTTGTATTGTGCTGCCACAGATAAAGATAACAAAATGTTAAACCATGCATCTGCATTCCTTCTGTTATCTAGATATCCACCTAAAAGCCTATTAGTGCTATTTAAGTTCTGATGGCATTTAAAATCCAAACTAATGTTTCATTTAGCTGGGTCTTCACTCTCAGAAGTGAGATCGAACACTCATAAAGCATTTACAAATTAACAAGCAAAGCTAGCAAAGGGAAACAATTCCTGCAGCCAGCGACGGCCAAAGCTGGAGACAGAACCTAGAACTTCCTTAACACTTGCAGTAGCCATCAGAAAGTCAATGTGATGCACAAGTCTACGTTCTTACAGTTCTTCTCTCCTAAAGGTCTTTGTGTATGGGAAGCATTTTTTTTTTCTTATAACTGCAACCACTACTCCATATTGGCTGAATGGTATTCCTCTAAGCACGTAGTCTTCAACTGACAATGCTTATAAATTTCAGAATTTTAGAGTACACCCCAGAACAAGGAGTAGAACATCTAACATGTTAGAATATTTTAGTTATCTACTAACATGTTAGTAAAACATTTGGAGTCTCCTTCTCTGAAGATGTTCAAAACCCATGTGGACACGTTCTTGTGTGATCTAATCTAGGTGGTCCTGCTCCAGCTCCAGCAGGGGGATTGGACTAGATGATCCTTCGAGGTCCCTTCCAATCCCTAACATTCTGTGACTCTGTAAACTGGGCTATCACAAGCTTCTGCTTCAACTAAGCGTAACAGTCCCCTTGCTCACACTAGCAGCAGCATTCACTTCTCTGTGAAGCAATTCAGCTCAATCTGCTTATTTTCTTGAAAAGTCATCAAATAAAATTGTTGCCTTCAAGAATCTCCTGTACTTACTGTTAGTATTCCTCTCCATGTCTATACCCACACATACTAAGATGCAAGTTTCAGAGACACAGTCCATGACACAGAGCATTCAAATATACATCTGCGGGAGTCAAGGTCATCCTACTAGTCAGGATGGAATGCCTATCTAGCTAAGATAAGCATAAATGTTGCAAAACAAGGATTTGTTACATATTAAAAATACGATTTTAAAACGCAAGTTTTAAACTCCTCACGAAGATATGAACATATGCTCACACCTATTTACCACAACACATCTATCTACCAAGCTAGTAACTGCTGTTTTCCAAGTCCAGAAAGGAGATCAACAGCCACCAATTCACATTTTGTTTGCAATGCTTATCAAATCAAACGATCTTGAAATGATTCCTTCAATTAACTAATTTTTAAAGACCAAATTTTTTAGCGTGCACAACATAATCCCACGTGATTGCCTTTTGTTATAGACCCTTCACAACACTCTTGCTACCTTTACACATGAATCAGTGGTAGGATTTTACATCCAGGAAAGTCACAACGAGGATCCCAGCATAGCTATACTATCTGACAGCAATCTAAATAGATGCACTACAGTTTTCCTGGACTGTAGCTTGGACTGAATTGAACGGTTCCAAGTTTATTGTTCTGTGAAGTCACTTGTGCAAGAGAAACAGGGCTTATATGCTTTTCTTTCATGTTTTTTGGGGATAGAGGGAAGGGAACGAGAGGTGGTTTTAATTTCTTAATAACTGCCAAATAGCCAGCTCCTCTCTGAAAGAATTTCTCAAACATGTCAAAGTTAATGTGAGAAAGACAGACTTATGCTTTTCCTTACACAATACTTCCCTAAACAAGGTCTTTACTGTAATCCAGCTATTCCTTCTATGTTCAGTTTATACAGCTTATCATCTTCTCCTAGGGTAAATGCTTTCCTTACTTGCTGGTAAGTTGTGGAATGTGGCTTCCTTGGTATAGATTCGAGGTTTTCAATGTTTTTCATGGTGAAAGCTATTACGTCTCAGTTTTGTCATGATGTCTTGCTTTAACTGGTATATTTTAAATATGCCATTTTGTCATGTCCCCTCTCTTTTTTTTTTTTTCTAATTTTCAACAGCAGCTGGAATTTTTGGTAGTGTGAATTTTGATAGCTTTCTTGAAAAAACTCTCCAATCTCTTTTCATTAGCATGAAAAAAAAAATCAGTCAGTTCTTGAAACTTTGCAAATACTAGAACTACAAACAGCAGAAGCAAGTGCATGGAATTTTCTGACCATTTTTACAAACCTGTTTTGCTGTGTGTAAGATGTAGCAGTCACACAAACTAGCAAACATTTAGCTTTTAATACTACATAGGTCTTAAGCCTTACAAAATTTTTTGGTTTTGCAACTCAACATCACAGAAAGTTCATCATAAAACAGGCAAACAATTGTTTGTCATACAGATGTTAGCAAAAACAGCCAGATTACATGGTACTTGACGCCAAGACTTTCATAATAAAACTTTTATTCAGAGGTTCAATGGCTGCCTAGTCAATACTAATCCATTAAGTCCCCCCTCCACTTTTTTCAGAAGTTTGGAAAGATATTACTTAACACTCCTTTTTCAAAATTAATAACAAAAAGCAACATAAAGCCATTACTTGCCTTGCCAGATAAGCTCTATTAAAAGCAGAAGTTTACTCATTTTGAATTTTCTTTAAGTCCAACATTCCACCAGCATAAAAATTACATAGTAGGCAATAAAAACCTCTCTTATACCCCGGAGAATTAACGATTAAAAAAGCTGATGTTCTTTTTCAACCTTTGGAACAGGTAAAGTTTTCCTTTTTCTTTTTTTTTTTGTTTGTTTTGTTTGTTGGTGAAAATAAGTACTTGACGTACCCAACACCGCACTGTATTGTCAAACACTTTAAATGATTAAGAAGCCAGCTGACAGTACCTAGCAGTACCCAAGTAACAAACACTGGAAACACCAGCCTAAAGGCATCCACTGGGAACGAATTTTAACACCCTACTTATTTTCAATGTTACTGCCTGATAGTAGTAAGTCACTAGGAGAACACAATAAACAAAGAAAAAAAAAAAAACTTTAAATGTAGAATAAACTCTGAGTTTCAAAAGAGTCCAGTTGAAATATGTGCTTGAAGTGAAAAGCTTTACCAGTATGCTTTAGACACTCCTCAGTTCTGTGACCAGTAGGAAATTTAACACGTGTAATCAGCAAGGATAACCTAAAGTACAGATGCACTGCCACTACTCTTCAGTTCTAACACTTGTTCTTAAATATGCAGGCGTTTAAAGTTGATCTAATGGGGGAATGTATTAAGTGACAAACACACTGGAACTTTTATTAGCATTTACCTTCCCCTTGACAGACATAATTAATCTGTTGTAAAAGCATGATGAGGAGTTTTACAGCATTTAAAACTACCATGAAGCTATAAGTTTTAAACCAGATTCACAAAATCCCCTAAAATCTACAGGTTCTTCACTGAACTTTTTATTCTGTGGCCCAGAGCCGATTACTTTGAAGACCTCCTCCATACTTAAGTGGCCAAGAAGAAAGTTACTATTTCCTACGGCTGCATTTTCAGAAAAGCTGCTCGTGAGCTAATGCCCGTTATCAAGCCTGTTTTCAGGGCCAGCAAAGCCTTCCCTATTTCCAACAATTTATTGGCACGGAAAGGCGGCTTGTGTGGCACCTGGAGCCAACCCGCTCCGCCAGCTCCCCGCTCCGCG